GTGTGTATCATCCTCATCAGGTGCCTTGCCAACTGGCATGAGCTATCACGCCTCTCCACTGTCCGCGATCTCCTCCACCATGTATTAGTTCGTGTGCTGACACACCTCCTTGCCATGCAACAAGATTGTCAAGAATCTTCTCTCGTTGTCTTCCACTTTCCACAGATTTTTCCAGTGGTGACAACATGTTCCATTTCCCTTTTTCTTATAAAATTGCCGCAAAATGATGAATGTCTCCTCCTGGTGTCTGTGATAAATTGTCTTCGGGCTCCCACCTCTTTTAAAACCTCTCGGTTACTTTTTTTGGCTGTTTATGGTAACTATATATATATATATATATATATATATATATATATATATATATATATATATATATATATATATATATATATATATATATATATATATATTTAAATTTCAATTAACCGTCACTGCCTAGACTCGGGATGTGATGCATAACCGAATAGACGGATCAATCAATCAGGTGCCGTGTCCACAATGAAGGTTGGCTGCAATGGATCTCCAACAAGCACTGTCTCTTGCCCTTGATGTACACTCACTCATACTGCTGTTCGTCCATCTCTTGATGTTATATTCCCACTTGTAATGCTGTCTGCCTTTTGCTCGACTACCTTGAACCTTTTCCTCTAGGATGATCTTTACAATACTGTTATGTCTTTTAATGTGGCCACAATATTTCACTTGTCTCTGTTTTATTTCCCCTAGCAACTCTCTTTTCATTTCCAATTTCCTCAGTACCTCTGTATTTGATAGCTTTTGTTTCCATGAAATACGACGTAATCTTCTGTATATCCACATTTCCAAAGAATTGATACGATTTTCCAAGTGTTTGTTCATTGTCATTGTCTCTGTGCCATACAGTAAGGTTGAGAATACATAACATTTGACAATTCTTATTTTTAATGAATTGCTTTTTTCTCTTGATGTCAGTAACTTTTGCATGTTGTTGAAAATGTTTTTGGCCATCCCTATTCTTTTCTTGACTTCTGTTTCACTTCTGCCGTCACATGTTATTACTTGTCCAAGATATAAGAAATTTTTAACTTGTTACAATTTCACCCCGTTCACTGTGATATTCATAATAGACGGATACTAGTTATCTTTCAAAACGTATAAACCAGTGTTTTTCAACTGTTCTTAGTCGCGGAGCTTTTTTTTTTTAACAAATATTTTTTTTTTAACGGCTCTCTATCCTAAGTAAAAAAAAAAAAATGACAATCAATATGTAAGAGATTTAAAAAAAAAAAAAATAATAATGTATCTTCACATTTTTCGCGGCGCCCCTATGAAGAGGTCGCGGCTCCCCAGGGCGTCGCGGCGCACAGTTTGGGAATCACTTGTATTAACAATAAGTTAATTGCCCCTGCTAGCCTGGTTCAAAAATGGGAGAGGAGGGTCCTTTTAAAGGCGGATAGCGCACACAAAATGCTTTTAATTTTACAGAACGATCAATTTAAACTCCATTTTAAAAGTAGTAATTTACATAATTTAGCGTATTACTATAAACCAACGTTACTTTATGATAGTTTGCCTTCTTTTTCTTTTTCTTTAAGGCTTAAGCTTTCTGATGTTTCTCATTTTAACGGACGTGGGATCTGTGATGCATATGCCTCTATTTGCATTTCCAGCCAGTTGAAGCACTGTGATAACTTTTTTTTTTTTCTGCTTCTGAATGGCTAGTTACAGATTTTTGGTTGAGTACCAGTCCTTCGTCATCATCTATTTCTTCTCCTTGTTCTTTAGTTGGTAGTCACAGTAGAAACAAGTTCATCATCGTTCCAAACACAAAGCCTCAATCCATTGTGACACATTGCAAACAATCTGTTACTTTCTCTGGCGTTGTCTTCACTATTTAGTCCCACCTTGTTGCACAGTTGAACAATTTAAACACGAACAAGATATGTTCTTTCAGCTTCGTAAACTTGTTCCCTAATGCTTTTCACTTATTTTCACGTTATTTTTTACACTCAATTATTCTTTGAAATCAGCAACGACTGTTGCTATACCTATGTCTAGTTGTCGAATACGGTGTGTATGTGTGTGTGTGTGTGTGTGTGTGTGTGTGTGTGTGTGTGTGCGTGGTGTTGACCTGACCACATCATTCACTGAGTTCCGAATGCTTTATCAAACATAGGTCTAGCACTATGTACTTACGGGAGTCACCGTGGCGGAGCAGCTAGACGCTGGCCTGGGATCGGAAGGTCGTGGGTTCGGTCCATGGCGGAGCCGGACTTTTTTTCAGAAATGACCTTGGCTACCAAGTCGACCCAGCTTTGAGTGGGTACCGGGTGAAGTCCTGGGAAGTAAAGGGGGCCGGCGTTATGCTGCACCATCTTGTGCCGATTGGTCTATAAAATAAAGATCAATAACTACGTGTTCGTCGTCTGGTGTATATGCCCTATACGTCTAAAGGCGTGAAAGAGGGTCCTTTACTTTTCTTTTTACTATGTGATTACTGGCTGGGAAAACCGAATGCGCAGGGACTGGCCAGCTGGTGCTGTGGAGTCAGAAGTGAAACAAATGATTCATTACAATTCTTGCCCAGGGGATGTCATTTGTCTATACAGATGGCTCTGGGTTGACGGGCAGACGAATTGCATGGGGGTTCATAGCAAAAGCAAATGGACGCCGTTAGGTGCAAAAAGTCTGGCATATGAAATCACAACATCTGTTTTGAGAATGGAGGTGGAGGCGGTCACTGCTGCTTTCTGATGGCTTGAGAATCAGCTGTAAACACATGCCGTGACTGTAGCTGACTCCTAGATCCTTTTGAGAAAGGTAGAGACAGGAATGCTCAGTGCACAATGGTAAGTTAGCTTCACTTCAGAGGTCCCGGGTAGTTAGCATCCTTTGGATATTTTCTACAGGTCATGCTGGTGTTGTGGTCGGTTCTGCACCACTTTGTCGTGAACTGATGTATGCAAGTGTGTGTGAGGCCCTTATGGGAGCGAGTGAACAGGGCAGAGACACACATTTATCATTGCAGTCTGAGAATGGCTCTGCGAGCAGTTACGAGGGAATTTAGCTAACGCTCAACACTCGAGGAAAGGGCGAGACGGATTTACAATCAGTTACTGGTACCATCGGAAGGGGAACTCTTCAGCTGCTGCTGAAAATGAGGACGGATCGCTTTTGTGAGTGCCCCGAGGGATGCGATGTCGGTTCTTAATTCAGAATTCAATATTTGACGCACCATTGTAGGCAACCATAAATTAACAACACAAGGCAGATGTCAAACTAACACTGCAACCGATACATTAATGTGACACAACAAACAGTTTAGAAACCACTGACCTACGGAATATATTTTGTGGATGTGATGTACTCTACATATGATATGGCATTTGATGTCTAGCATATCATTGCAATTAAATGACATCACGTCAAAAAAAAAAAAAAAAAAAAAAATGCAAGATCAATTCTTAAAAAAAAAATGATTTCCACCTTTCTGTTATGAATATACGCCAGCCTGTTGGAGATCGTCGTAAGAGAGAAGCAATCCATCCCAGAAACAGAAGTCTAGTCAGATAACTGTATCGGCCAATGGATAGGTCGTGATCGAACATGGACCAGCGTAAGCGGGCATTTAAACAACTAGGTGAGGTTACTAAGTTGAGTTGAGTCAATTAAATAACCGATATCACATCACTCAGGGTACTCCCATAAGCGCTCCATTCCCATCTTCAACAGCCAGTGAGGAGTTCCGATACTAATGGTGCCAGTAGTCCGCCTGTTCATTTCTCAACACACCGGCGTGTCCAGGTAGAAAAATCCAGACAAGGTTACTGAAAGGGATTCGAGCTGGCTGTGGACGCAACGGAACGTTGTGGTGGTGGTTGGAAAAGGAGGGGGCGTGGTGTTTAAGGGGGGAGAGGCCTCGGTAGACTTGTCTGGACCCCTATTGGGAAAAAGCTTTACCTCCCTACAAGTCAAAGTGTCTGATCAACGTATGCCCCTGTTACTCTGCCAAATGCCAAAATATGTCTGGTAAACGTCTGTTCGATGAACCAACTGATCTTTTGTCACTCTGGTCCTGTCAAAGCATAATTGCGTTTTGTCCGATAAGCGTTGAATGAAAAGTCCGAGGCATGACGTCGCGAAACAGGTTGTCCACCCATCGTGATTGTATAGGATGGACACTTGGGCTGAAACACTTGTTCAAGAGGAGCCTCACCTTCTGACGATAGGTGGTACCCCTGCTGTGCTTTCTCACACTGGGGAGTGCTTATTATTACTGGGTTTAGAGAAGCCCGTTACAGTCGAAGGTGTACAGGTAGTCCAGAAAGGTTTCATGGCCTAAGATTTGAACACAACTTCAAGTGTGGAGGAAGCAGGAAAGAGGATGAATAGGGTACCAGATCCTCAAACTTTTCTGTGGTCACAAAGTCTATTCTTATTTTTATACCTCCTAGGTCCTGGCAAAGTGAGTTAGGAAAACGGATCCCCTGTATATGTCATATGTACTATTGCACTACTTGCACACAAGACAACGTACTTACATACGGAATATTCATGCGTGTATATATAATCCACTTGAAACGTCTGCTCACCCGCATCTTTACTGTACAAATTATATTCTCCAACCATTACCCGAAACTGCAGGCCCTGCTGACTGAAAGTATCACAATGTCATTACTATACTGTGGGGGGGGGGGGGGGGGGGATAATAATAAGGACCACATGAACTGTGACTATACTGCTTATCGATGTGAAGGGAATGATTTGAACAAATAAAACTAAACATTTCTCACTGGCTTCTCGGCCCAATTTGAGCTGAACATTTCCCAGTGTGTGTTCCCGGTCCCATTGTGGTGCTAAACATTTCCCAGTGTTGTTTCTAGGCTCCATGTTGGTGCTGTACATTCAGCCAGTGTGGGCTCCCGGCCTTTTTTTTTTTTTTTTTTTAGGTGCTAGACATTTCCCAGTGTGAGTTCTCATCTCCATTTTGGTGCTGAAGATTTTTTTTTTTTTTTTTTTTTTTTAATCTGTTTATTGGTTCAAAACATCAGATACAAATTCTCTTTACATAACAAAAGCAAAATCAATAAGGTGATGTGCGAAAAATGATGATGGTTTGTACCGTTTCTCACTGACATTTCACAGAAATAGAGACAGGGGGAGGCAGAGAGGATCAGTGGGTTCGAGGAAAGCTGGGGCTGTTGGGTCTGTCAGCGGAAACGGTACATTTCGATGGTAATGTTTTACAGGTTTTAAGATATATATATATATTTACAACAACAGAGTGAGTGGTGGTGTACAAGGAAACAGCAATGGAACAATCACGGACAGATTGCGTAACAGCTCACTCAGGCAACAAGGAAAGGACAAATAGTAAGATCGGCAACCAAGGCACAACCAAACGCCTGCAAAAAAAAAAAAACGACCTAGAGTCAGCACATAAACAAGGACTCGATATAGTCACCGCTCTCTCTTTCCACTCACTCTTGAATTGAATTGAACTTAGAAAACAAAAATAATAAAGCTCCTCGACTCTTTCAGGTGCTGAAGATTTACCCAGTGTGGGTAGCGGCCCCATTTTAAGTGAAAGAAGAATAGGACACATGTCCCCTAACAAGCACGTGCGGAAAGGAACCAACAGTCTGCCTGCATATAATCCACATCTATAAAACGGACACTTACATTCTGGAACAAAAACACAAGTCCAGGAGGAACAAACAACCAGGACTTGCCTCCGGAATTTACAGATAGCGAATGCTAAAAATAATGGATGAAGAAAAAGCACGTTTTGACAAAAGTCTTTATTAAACTGAGTGCTAAATACAACACTGTCTCTGACTAGAAAACTCAGTGAAGACAACACTACAAGAAACACAAAACAAACAGTCACTAGAAGACCCAACTTACAAGATGTGTACAGTTGCTACTAACTTTTATGTTGCCATTTTCATCTATTTCCAGTCTATAATGTCATATTGTGCTACAGGGAGGCATGGGATTCATTGCCTATGGCGATGGCGATTGTGACTAGTAAAACTGGCCTGCATTGAGAAATTTCTTCAACAGAGCAAGTGATTTCAAGACTGCTATTTCCATCATATGTTTTCAGTGTATTACCTCTCAGTGACAATCACGGCATGTGTGTACGGCTACTTTCAGGCCATATTTAAGAAATTTGACATTGTCTGGTTATTCCAAACAACGCTGTTAGGGTTTGTTTTGGCTTCGATGAGATGCTACTTCTCTTTACAAATTGTTGACTTGCATTCATTTGGCAAATATCTTCCCGATTAAAGAGAGGTAAACAATGGTAGCGGGCGATATCGCGACTATTTTTGACTCGTGGAAACTAAAGCATCGTCTCTAAACAGGACGAATACCAAGGTGGACGAATTCGAACACATGCTGATGTCCATCTTTCTTTCTTTTAATTTCTTTTTAAAGAAATTAAAAGAATTACTAAATTTTAAATTTTTAATTTATAATGTCAAATCAATACTTTTGCATAAAGCGGAAACATGGAGAACAGCTAAGACAATTACTAATAAATTACAGACATTCATCAACCGGTGCCTGCGCAGAATAGAGTGAGTTAAATGGTATGATATAATTACTAATTTACAGCATCAGGAGAGAACTAACCAGGCTCCAGTGGACCAGGAGGGGAAGAAAAGACGATGGCGTTGGATAGGGCACACATTGAGAAAACCGGAGAACAATATTAGAATGCATTTACTTTGGAAACCCCAGGTGCATAGAAACAAAGGAAGACACACACACACACACACAAACATTAAGAAGGGAGCTGGAGAATGAATTTAGAAAGATGGGAAGGACATGGGGAGAGCTGCATGCGATAGACATGGATAGAACGACTTGATGTGAGTTGGTTGAGGGCCATTATGCTCCATTAGGGGCTAGAAATGCAGAAGAAGAATGCTATACATCTATTTATCATTCTATTTATTCATCCAACAATAATAATATAAAATATAAATATCATTAATAATAACAGTTTACATTATCTTGTTATAATTATGATTAAATTCGTGTCAATGGAAGTTAGAGAAAAAATTATCGTCACTGTATAGGCCAAGTTTTGAAATACGGCCGTGAATTACCTTTGATAAACAGGCCAAAAAAGATCTGGATTAACAGAGGAATAATGGAGTAAACAAGATGTTTCGAAAGAGGCGAGCGCCCATAGACAGCCATCCGCAAACGTCAGAAAGAGACAGTCATCGTGTTTGAGGAGATGTTATGAGAAGAAGGCCATTGAAAGATGTTGTGAAGACTGGAAAGAACTGTACAAAATGTGAAAGAGGAAGACAACACGAGAAGACTACTGACCGCCTGTAGTCGTAGGATTGAGGGATGTCAGCACGAGAACTAATACACACTGTTAAAGATCGCGGATTGTAGAGAGGCATGATCGCACACGCCAGTCGGCAACTTACTTGATTAAAATGAAACAGTCTAACTAGACTACACTTCACGCCATCAACTGATTGTCTGTTGATATATTAGATTATGAGCAAACAGTAAGTGCCAGTTACTCACCCTACCGACCTTGCGAACAGAACCCGAATGCCTTTACTGGCAAATAGCTATACCACCCCACTATCCCATTTTTCGCTTTATTAATATCCTACTCCAAAGAGGGGTAGTCCACAGGTCACAGGCCAGTCTAATGTTTCAGGGGGTCGTAGAAGGCTTCATGCAGTCGTGGGACGTAGGCTCCCCTCTCTCGTGGTACGTAGGTGGGTAGAGGCTCTAGATGTTTTGGAGTCGTTAACAGCATAAGAAAGGCGGGCAAACCAGTCTTACCATCCTCGAAAATGTTTAACTGTCATGTGACGTCATCTGGACTAGGATATCAATAGAGAACCGCCCACGTACCTAGATAACAGCAATATCGAGAACAACGCAAGGAGACAACCCAAAATAGTTTTTTTAAAAAATCATTTGTAAAATGTTTACTCACTGGAAGCAATGAGCCGCACTGAGTAACCAGAACTGATCTATAATTACAGCCCCACAGTATTGAATCAATTGTGTTCCTGTATCAATCTTCAAACTGGCTTGCCAGGGAATTTCACCATAGCTGGCTTGAGACCCTCCAACGATCCTTTTGATAAATGACTTTACATGAACGGTATTATCTGAAGGTTTCCCCTGAACAGAACTGTAGTCGCTTGATGAGCCATTTGTCACCAATGAAGATCTCGCTGCTGCTGTTGAGTGAGTACAAGTGAATTGTTAAAACAGACTCGGGATTCGAACACAAAGAGATTAACCAAACGTGCTACTTCCAGTATATGATATAATGTTGTTTAGCTACATGGTACATTACGTATTCTGAGGGTATTATACTAATCTTTTTTTAGGGATTGCACCACATAGATTAGCCTGTCCACGGATTAACTGTTCGGAGTCCACGGTGATCCTATCGATCTTCTGTTTAACTAAATATTTACAGCCTGCTAGCAACTGTCTAGCTTCTATGTATCAGGACTGATTTTTCTAATGCCCTTCTCCTTCTCCAGATCCATTTACTGCTTTTCTCCTCATTCTCCTTCCTCGTCCTCCTTCTGTTTCTGCTTGTTTTTTCTCCTCTTCTGTCTCATCTTTAAAAGGGAAGATGACAATGTGTGTTGTTCATAGTTAATCAGTAAAAATGTGAACCTTTTCGGCCCCAAACTATTGAATCAACCACTTGTTATTGTAATTCTATGACAGGCTGTTAAAAGGCAGAAGGTCAGTAATTATGCACCTAAAATGGGGCTCTTGAATTCGCACGGCGATATTTGTCTTTTAGTTGCTTTTAGAGAGCACTCTTACATTAATTAACAAGCAGTGAGTTATCAGCTAACACTTGACTTGTGCCAAGTACAGGCGACAGAAAGTTGCTACTTGGGCTGTACCGAATAGTGATTTTTACTATTTGGCCGAATACGAATAGTGGGACCAACTATTCGGCCGAATACGAATACGAAAAGTGTATTATCATCATCAGGTGCCTTGCCGACTTGCCTCTCCACAATCTTCAATCTCCTGCAGCATGTATCAGTTCGTGTGCTGACACACCTCCGTGCCATGCAACAAGACCGTCAAGAATCTTCTATCGTTGTCTTCCCGGCTCTCTAACGAAGTTGGTTAAACCTTACTTGCCCGGCGGCCGGGTGACGAACTCCTTGTGGTCCGGGTTCACTCCCAGGGGTAGGCAGAAAAGCCTTATTTTTCCCAGAATAATGGTACCTATTATGGAATCAAGGCCGAAGGGTTACGATATCCATACTACAGAGCCAAAGGGTTTACAACTCATGGTTTTTGGATTTGTAAAAAAATAAAAATCGTTGTCTTCCTCTATCCCTCCTTCCACAGATCTTTTCAGTGGTCACCAAATGTTCAATTTTCCCTCTTCTCATAACAAAGCTGAAAAAAAAAAAAAAAACGACTGTGTCCTTCTTATGTCTGTGATTAGTTGTCTTCGGGCTCCCGCCTTTTTCAAAACCATCGTTCACTCGGCCGTTCGTTCGATGTAATTTAAACGCACCTTCATATTCTTGTTAGCAATATCTTTAAATTTAATTTTGGCGAAGACACCCTGAAAAAACGAAAAATGCATGATCTCTCTCTCTCTCTCTCTCTCTCTCTCTCTCTCTCTCTCTCTCTCTCTCTTCCTCTCTCACGCACACACATGAACTGCAGTTGGCATTTTATGTAGTTTGTACCAAGCAACCGGGTCTCAGTTTCCCCTGCTACGACAGACTTAGGCCACAGTAACTATTGTGTTAATGAGAGTTATTTCAGTCCATCACAGTGTATGCAGAAACGGGAGTAAGGTAACCACTATTCGTTTTCGGCCGAATACCGAATAGTTATTAGTTTACTATTCGGCCCCGAAGCGAATACGAAGCGAATATTCGGTACAGCCCTACTTGCTACATTGTAACTGCACTTTACTTTTGAACAGATCCAGTGTTACTGTTGTTATCTGCAGGAAAAAAAAAAAAAGAAACTTTACGAAATAAATGTCGAAGGGAAATCTTTTGAATATGTTGTCTAAAGAAGGTCGCAAATGAAGAACAGGCGAGGAAAACCCAATGCTTATCATTGTCGAACAATATCAAAGGAAGAATATGGAGATGGCTTGAACATGTTTGAACAATAACTCTTCACTCTTGGTCAAGGACAGCTCCTCGATGAACGACAGATGGAAAATGGAAACGTGGACGACCTATTGAAACCCTGAGGAAGGCAATAGAACGGGAAATGATCGAAAGTAAAATGACATTGGCTACCTCAGGCATAGAAGCAGCAGGTTTGCAACAATGGAGATTACTGTCCAATGCCTTATGTGTCAACAACAGCGTGCAGATGAGATAGACAGAGCTGCAATGAATGTTAAAAAAATATTTTTTGTTCAGCTCATATTACATTATACGAATAACACGAAAAAGTAAAAGTTACATTGTGCAAGCCGATCTTCTACATTAATTTCATCTATTTTTGGATGATCCACATCGTCTTCCTGAAAAGAAACAAAGAAATTGTTTGAGACTCTGTATCCTTAAAATTTTCAGGGTGGCGGGAGATTCTTAAGGGGTAATAAGCCTTGTTTAAGTGTACATAATAATAATAATTCTGTGCTGAATGGCAAATACATGCAATTGAATTTTTCTTAAAGGTAATAATATAGAAATAGAAATAGAATGTCAGTGAGGGATTTGTGGGTCAGGGAGGGGGTGAGACTTCTTGCCAGTGGCCAGTTCAGCTACGGGATGAACGTAGTTGATAATAGTGAATCATCACGTATGAACGAGCTGACCCTCAGTAAAACTCGTGTGAGACCGGGCAGGTTGACCACGGAATAAACTGGGTCGAGTTAACTGGCGAAGCCCAGGTATTTTTGAGATAGGCTGTGTTTCCATTTAATGTTTCGACGAGATAGTGTAGAGTTAATGTTCGTTATATAGTAGACATTCCACGCAGTATTTGTTAAGCAGCTAGTGAATGTGTGACACGCATTGTTAATGGCGTTAACACTGCCCAGTCAAACTTAGGCCATACACCTTACGTGTGTCACTGAGTACCCGTGGCAATAGACGGCGACTTAGTCAGCACTGTTAAACTGTTAGTTTGGAATCGTGTCCTTGGGAATCCATATGAACGGCTCGGGTTGACCAGTGAATGTAAAAGGTGCTCACCGCCGGCTTTTCGGATAAGGACTGCCAACTTGGTTGAGGTCTTATAAGTTGTATTGTTCGTTGTACATTAAAGATTATGTTTGTACTCAGCAAGTGCGTGTCTTAAGTGTGTCGTAGAGTAGTGAGGTCTGTTAGTTGGCCTACCTAGCGAGCCATAGGAAGTAAATTAGTAAAGTAGGTCTCTAACACTTCTGCAGGTTGGGTGGGGAGGGGGGGGGGCGTAATTTGTCTGAATCCCAGGTTTCTGTCTCATTACATGAACAGAAGTATGTTAGTTCATGTATTATTCTGACTGAACATCGTACCATTGATTCTATAGTTCTTCCAATCTCCCCCTGAGTAATCCTCCAGCGTGTAGCGGCTGACGACCAGTTCTGTGATGGCTTCTTAATTCTTCTTTGGCTTCCTGCATAGTGCTCTCTTCTTGCCACACCCCTTTTAACCTACAGCTCTTGCAGTCATATGTCTCGTAGAGCATTCAGAATGGTAGCCAGGTCCATGTCTTCTCCGCCCTCCACAGTAGCTTTACCTGTAAGCCGATCTGCTCGCTCATTTCCTTGCACTCCTGCGTGCCCTTGCACACACATCAGACTGATATATGACACCCTGACAACCTCACAGAATTCAGCCACATTCTTCAGATCCCGCCGATCTCTGTCTTCCTGATCATACTCAATGAGACACTGAAAAAAGCATGTACGGGTAAATATCTGTGTCTCCAGCCATGTTATTACTTTTGTTACTGCCACAATCTCCAAATTCAGACTGTTTGCAAAGGCACCGGCATTTTCCTTCACAGCATTACCTCCAATAAGTGCCACGATATCCCAGGAGTTTTTCACCTGGCGAACCACATACACATCTGTGTAAAACAAAGCATCCCCCTCTAGAGAATTGTTGAAAATCAAAGGCACCAAAGCAGCTGGACTTTCTTGTCTACATTTTCTGACTTAGCTGATGCAAACAAAAGAGGTCACACAGCACTCTGTTCGTATTAGTACGATTCCTCACCATATAATTTGTCCTCAGGTGAATGTACCTGCTAAATAACGTCCTTAGCCTGACTCATCCACTATTTTGCGCCTTTTATCCTGCTGCCTTTCCCTCCTCCAAATGTCATCATGCAGCTGGTGTCTTGTGTCTGCGTTAACGATAGGCTCGTGCTCAGCAAATTTGTATTATTTCCTCATTGATTGGAACAATCAAAGAGGCAGTGCCTCTCCGGCATTTTGTATCTTTTGTCACCTAAGCATAATGCGTAAATCCTCGATCTGTATCCTTTCCATCCTCTCCATCTGCTTATGGCTAAGTGTTATACGGACCCAACTGTTCTTCCTCTATTTATTTATGTGAAGGACATGTACACAATGAAACATAATAATCAAATGCCTTTCTTCAATGTTTGTTTATTCTAGATAAAGCATTACGGTCTACTGTGTTTGCAAATCGTTGCTGTGTTTTTTTTCCACCAATGCCTTGTTAGTATACATTTATGTAAGCCATGTTGACATTGCAATGGTTTGAGATAAATTCTGTCAGTATTCCATAGTTGTGGATTTTAAGCTGTACGATAGACATAGCCAAAGAAGACATATTTTTGGGGTGCCTAGTTGACCATGTTCTTAGTGCCATTTGGAGGTGCTAGGTTAGTTTCCCGGCACGGTAACTTTAGAATTGGATTTTTATGTTGTCTTGTGTGTTCTTCTATCTTTCTTTTTCTTTCTATCTACATCTTTCTATGAGTGCTGATCAATACATTGTCTATTTGCTTATTTAATGTAGTATTTACACAGCCTCAAGGGTTCCCCTTCTGTTTTTTTCCCCATGATGGCTAAAGGTCAAGATAGACATCTATGTATTTATGACATGAAACACAAGTAGACGTATCATGAATCTGATGTAAAATCCCCGTGACCTAACACCAACGTGGGGTAACATCAGTATGGTGTAACATCAGAGCAGTGTTACTTCAACGTGGTGTAACATCCACATGTTGTTACCTCAGCGTGGTGTAACATAGGCGTGGTGTAGTCTGGTAGTCTTAGTTTCAGCTTCATAGCAAACGGGTCGCCCCATCTTTGCTCCGCTCCTGTGCCAGCGAAAAACACCCAAACTGTTTATCACAGTCCCGTGTGGAAAGATTGACAGACTGCTGTCTCAGCATATCTAGCAAACACTCGCATTAAAGCATATGGTAGCCATCCGAAGTGCTAACACAAACAGTCTAACATTAGAAATGCAGTTCATCATTGATGATAGCAGAACTTGTCGCCAACAGATCAGCAGTTGCCCACGCGATCAATTTTAATACGGGCCCCGCCAGCATTGCACGACAGGCATCGCGCCATTTTCAGGCGTGGTGTAACATCAACATAATGTAACATCAACGTGGTGTAAAATCAGCGTAACATGGTTTCTTACCCAAAAGTTCTTGTTCACGCTCCGCCCATTGACGGTTGAAGTCACAAACACTGCGACTATCAATGGAAGAAGATGCATTTTAGTGAGGGATGTGTAAAGACGAACTAGACCAAATAAATTAGGTATTTACTATGGCTCAAACTACAGCCTGTTAAAGACGGGTAGCAGGATCTAATGAAGACCACTCTTATATCTCTTTTATAGCGTTTCCTCTCTCACGTGTTGACATAAATTGTTTACAGTAAATTAATGTTCCATTTAAGGGTGTCTCCTTTTTAATACCAGAAACAACCAAAATAAACTATTCTTTAAATGATGCTGTCATCACTATGGTCACTGATTTATTTCAGCAAGGCAAACAAGAACGACGCCCAAGTGTTATGTTATTTATTTTGATGGTTATTCTATACAGCCTGTGGAAAACTTTACCACTGAGATAAACGGTAACACATAAACTAGTTGTGCGCGTGGTGTATTCTATTACACATTGGCGTATACAAGATACATCGTTAAACTGCATGCTTGTAAAAAAAAAGGAAATTTGCCAATACATCAGACCCTGCAAAATTAAAGAGGGAGACACAGTCATTATGAAAGGGTCAGGCCGAACTCCTACAGTTAGTTACATGACTTTGAAGAACCATTGCCAACACATTTCTGTTATATTTTTTTTTTATAAACTGTTTGGGATTTCATGGGCAATTATATATTAATGTTCAGTAGTTTGGTGCTGTCTACACTGTTGCATCTCCATACCAATGTTGAAACCGACGCAATGCAATCTGCTGTCAAATTGCCCGCAGCTGGGATCAAAGACCGGGCAGTTTAGTTATGGCAGTTAATTCCAGCCGGTGGCTCTGGTGTCGCGAACGCACTTCATAATCACATGATCTTTCTAAACAACATTACAACACATTAGAAAATGACAGATTTAGGGACGTACTCAACTCCTAACGACCATAGAGAGAGACCAGTATATTCTTGTTCTCTTTTTCTTCGTTCACCGGCTGTGAATTCAGGCGGAAGGTCAGGTCCGCTTGGACTTTTGGCTTTTACCTGGACCTGAGTTTTGCGTGTACAACCGTTTAGCTGTTCCCTGCCTTTTGGGCAGCTGTACTCCAACTTCGAGGGATGGAAGACCAGTATATGTTTTGGAACAAAAGGAGGGTCAGTCGTTATGTAAACCAAGCAGATATACATTATCTATCATAATTTTCATATTAAACGCCAAGTCTTCTCTGATGGCGTCTCTGCTGCTTGTCTCACTGCTTGATTTCTGGAACAACGCAGATCACCATAGCGTGAGTATCAGCACATAAAGGTATAGTCGGTAATGAGAAGGGGAACACTTTTGAAAAAAAGAGGTAATAGCAGCCCTAATATAATAGAAACAGGACTAGGGAAATCCGATTGAAAGAGTCAAGTAACACGTTATATTACAGGAATGCGCAAGAGACAGTGAGAAATTAGTGTTGCAGGCAGAGGGGAATAAGAAAATTTGAGATAACCCACCCTAACATCACAAGTCTCAGACAAACTAAAAATGCTAGCAAATAAATTATGGAAAATAAGACTTGGCTACTGGAAAGCCAAATTTACAGAAGTCGTATGCCTAGACTGCTTTCAGGAAAACAGAAAAGACCACTTCCTGTTAACATGCACCCTATATAAACAGGAAAGAAAACCCCTGCAAGACTATTTTCAAAACTAAATAAGTCATTGACATCCAAGGAATCCTTACATGTTCATAGTAATGCGAGCATACAGAAACAAATGAAGAAATGCGTTTGCAGGACACGCAAAAATATACATGTCTTTATAGACAAATATATGATAAGATAAAAAGACGGTGAAGTGAGAACAGGAAAAAGTCAAAACAAAAATAAAACAGAAGGTAGTACATTGTGCAGACTTGTGTGTTTTGTATATGTATGTATATATATATATATATATATATATATATATATATATATATATATATATATATATATATATATATATATATATATATATATGTGTGTGTGTGTGTGTGTGTATGTACATAAATGCTTATATATGTGTGTAAGAGTGTAAAGTGCATACCAGCCCCCTCCTCAACACCCCTTACTAGGTACCATAGCACTTGTCTAAGCCACTAGTTTTGGTGCCATTAAAATGTCTTAGCTAGCATAGTTATCACAAAGAAACTAGACTACAGCTATATGGTCGATACTGCTCGCAGTAGGTTGAATGTGGTCGAATATTTTGTTTTGTTTTTCATAAATGGATGGATGAATGATCACCAACAAGAACAGAGCTTTAACAATTTGCAAATATATACACCCAGTACGTTATATTGCTGTATATTCACTAGGCCTGTGATAACTGATGTCTCATTGTACATATCTATATACATACAAAGCAACACCTTCCTCTATTGTTCCTAATAAATGACGTATATGTACATATATCAATTTTTTTTTTAATGTGGACATGTATATCCAACTGCTTTTCAGCTGTATGTATACTGCTTGTTCAAGTGTACGTGTATCTCTTCGTTCCGCTGTACGTGTATACTGCTTGTTCAAGTTTGTGTGCATCTGTCTGTTTAGCTGTATGTATAACTGCTTGTTCCAGTTTATTTGTAACTATTTGTTCAGCGGAATGAACACTGCTTGTTCGGGTTTTGTTTATCTGTTTGTTCAGTAGTGTTTACACTGCTGGTTCATGTTTATGTGTATACGTTTTTTCAGGTGTATGTGTACTGCTTGTTCAAGTTTGAGTACATCTGTCTGTTCATCTGTATGTATAACTACTTGGTCCAGTTTATTTGTATCTGTTCGTTCAGCAGAATGAACACTGATTGTTTAAGTATTTTTTTAAATCTGTTCATTAGTGTGTACACTGATGGTTCATGTATATGTGTATACGTTTTTTCTGGTGTATGTGTACTGCTTGTTCAAGTTTGTGTGTATCTGATTGTTCACCTGTATGTACACTGATTGCTCAAGTTTATCTGTTTGTTCAGCTGTATGCCTGTTGGCTCCGCAGTATATCCAACAATCTATGTATGCTAAAGACACCACTAAAACATATTTCCTGGGTTGAACAAGAGGTTACATCCACTCATGTAAGCGCACAGACACACAAACACCAGTCAGTTCTTAGGTGACAGCAGCCTGGCTGTTCATTTGTTGATGACTACAGCTTAGATTGGACAAAGAGCTACTCTTCATCTCAAAAAGTGAATACTATGAAATATTTGGGTCGTTTGGCCGTGTAGATGGGGCAAAGCAAGCGATCAGCCTAATACGATCCGTGATACTGCTAATAGTACGAGATAGCGAAACATGACGACCGAGGCTTATTGGCACAGCTCTTAAAGTCCAGGACATATCAGGAGAATTAAAGACAACCCGTGTGACAAAGATGTCGTCATCCACGGGATAGCATCATATACCTTCAACCAGGACTATTCAACTAAGGGGGGCAATAATTTCGAAAGTGGAGATCATCAGGGACCATGGTTTCGATCCCCAGCCTAGACAGATCCTTTTTAGAATACAATCGTCAATAATCTGCGGGCCACTTGCTAACCCTCCACGGGCTAGATTGTGCTTGTGGACCGAGACCTGCCGTCATTGATGCATGTGGTGACATTTGATCTTTGTACTGGTTTAGATCAGTACCTGAGGTATAGGGCAACCTGAACTATTTATCACCCACACACATTTTTTGTGCCACCCACCCCCCCCCCCCTCCTACCCCTACCGCCGACCCTCGCCCCATGTGTTTTCTGAGGAGATGAAAACCATATCTGTTCATTACAAACTTTGAAAAAATGTGCAAATCAGAAAACACCAGCGAAGGGGACAACATTGGAGAATTACTAAATGAACTACTTTTCTACTATAATTATACAACTGGTTAGTTGCGTATCCTTTACAGTCCGTTGCAGAACCAACCCCATCAGCCCCTGGCTGTTGTGTGGTTTCACTAGGCAAATTTACGTCCAGTAGTTTGCTATTGCTCCTGGACGGTCAGCTCCCTGATACCACTGTCGAAACCAGCGCAAGGTGTATGGCCCGCAGCTGGTATCGAACCTGGTTCCCCGGCATTACAAAGCGTTCACAATCGACTTAGCCACAGAGCCGACTAATTGTACAACTACTAGAACATATTAATAGTTCCCATTTAGAATGCGGCAACTATGATATAAATATCGACGTAGATAAATCAGAAGATGCCAACTTTCGTTGGAAATCTTTCCTACTGGGTATTACCTGACATTGCTATGCCACTGGCAGAAAAACTAACGATGCTGTTTGATGTCGGCCTGACCATTTCGTGTTGATTGAGTCTCCTGGTTTAATCATCAAGGGTTTGATGGTGCACTACCGTATTTTACAAGTGAGATCGTTGATATGTCATTGTGTAATTGAGAACAACACCCTCACAACTAGTTTATGTGTTGCTATTTATCTAGATGGTAAAATAACTGACTAACTATAGGAATACAGAACATAACACTTGTTCATCGTTGGTGTTGCCGAAATAAATCAGTGACCAAAGTAATGACTACGTCATTTAGTTCGCTTGTTTTTTAGTCTAAAAATCTAACTTCAAATGAAATAGTAATTTTCTAATAATGAACACTGACATAAACGTTATTAAAGAATGGCTTTTTTTCAGATACCACAATTAGTCTGTAATAGCCTGTACACAGAATATAAGTCGGCAGTTTATCCTTTGCTAGTTCGCATCTACACTTGTGTATCACGGGTATGCATCTCTGCACCACAATGAATCTGCTTTCATTACTAGTCGCCGTGTTTGTGACGTCAGCTGTCTTTGGCCGGAGCCTGGACGATATCTTGGTAAGAAACTATGTAACATTGATGTTACATCACGTTGGTGTTTCATCACTTTGATGTCCTACCACTTTGATGTGACCCAACATTGATGTTACACCACGATGATGTACACCGCTTTAATGTTACACGACGCTGATGTTACACCAGTTTGATGTTTCACCATTATTCTTTTACACCATGTTAAAGTTGCACCGCTTTGATGTTACACGACATAGATGTTACACCACGCTGATGTAACACCAGTTTTATTTTACACCATTAGTATTTTACACCATATTTAAGTTGCACCGCTTTAGCGTTATACAACATAGATGTTACACCACTTTGATGTTACACTACTTTGGTTTTTTACGCAACGGTAATGTTTCACCAAGTTTATGTTACAGCACATTCAAGTTAAATCACGGTAATGTTACACTAAGTTGATGTTCACCATGTTGATGTTACATGTCTCTGTCCACGTCTCTGTCACTTTATCTTTACAGTTTTGCCGTCGTGTGCCCACCTGCATTCACATACAAGGCCAAGCAGCTACATATTTCCTCTTTATCTGATTTTGAAATACATATGTAAATATATATATTATCATTAACAAGTGTGTAGGCGACTGACGTGGGCGTTCATGACTCTCCACAATTTGCGATCTTCCAGAGAATGCATCAGTTCGTGTGTTTGAACCCTTCCTAGCCACGACGAAAGATTATCAAAAATTGTCTCGCGTTGCCTTCCTTTGTCTTTTTTCCACAGATCCTTCCAGTTGTCACAAGATGTTCGAGTTGCCTTCTCCTCATATTTTACTTAAATTGACGACTGTCGCTTTCCTATGTTTGTGATAGGTTGTCTTCGAGCCGTTGTCATTTTTCAAATCATCAGCAAAGTACTTTTTTGGCTTCCACTCTCGGAAGTAAAGCCTAACGCCCTCCTCTACGCCAATCGAGGACAAGCTGTTGCCTAGACAGAAGGTATTTTCTCTCTACGTCGCCAGTAATACCAGAAGAAGAATACGTGACAATACAGCTTGGAACCGATAACGTTGCAACACAGTGTTGTAAACACTGTTAAGCGCCTTGAGATTCCAGCTTCGGATTCATCCTTAAGATCTACCCCCGAAGCACTTTGTCTAACTCGAGTATTGCCATAAGGCAGTGCCAGTTTTATATCAGAGATGTCCTTCTCCTAGACAAGCTGCACACAAGTGCTGACGAGTTTCATCTGCCCGAGCATCGAGTTTTATAAATATCAAGATGTTGTGGTACACCTTTAGACAGCGCCCGTAGAAAACAACACGACCAATCAATGTCTAAATGTCTCTTGTAGTTCATATTTGTTTCAGCCGTTATTTAGTTTCCTGAAATGTCTGTCCAATTTGCTTTTTACAATGTGATATTAGCACGTTGAAAATCGTTTATTATTCTTTTTTAAATAGAGTCTAGAAATTTGTGAATTGTTTAATCTTAAAAAGTACCTACATTTAATTCTTGTTGACACATTTTAATCGCATATTTTTTTAGGACAAGGAGCTCTCTTCGTTGACAGGTGAGAAAAATACAGATTCGCACTTTGCAGGATAAAAGTTTATCATTGTCCGGTGCTTTATTAATATCCTTCCCCAAAAAGGGGAAATCCACATGTAACAGGACAGTCTAATATTTCAGGGATGGTAGTTAGACTGCATGCAGTCGTGGAACCTAGGCTGCATGAAGTCGTGGGACCTAGGCTGCATTCTCTCGTGGGGCGTAGGTGGGTTGTGGTTAGGGCCAGTTCTAGGTGTTTTGGTTTCGTTACAAGCATCAGAAAGCCGGAAAACCTAGTTTTACCACCCTCTAAAATGTTGGACTGTCCTGTGATGTCATCTGGGTTGGGGTTTTAATAAAGAACTTCAATCACCTTTTACTCTTCAGTTTCTTACAATAGCACCACTGATCTCACTGACTTCGAAGTTACTGTTAGTTCTATAAAGCCTTGCCCAGTATTTTTTTTTTTCAATGGGCTATACCAAAGACCATCTTGCAGGATTTGATATGTTGTCTATATGCACAGCTTAAAAGAGCTCAGTTGATGAATACATAGATATTTTCACATTTCGGAACTATCCAAAATCAAAAACTGTTTTCAGAACTTTTTGGCAAAATAAAATACTCAAAAATTTTAAAACTGTTAATGGTGGACCAAAGCACGTTATGTAGAAAAGCGCGCTCTCCTACGAAATACGCCTGGCCAAATCAGAGGGAGACAACACAAAGTGAAAACACCAAGTAAGAAGAGGAAAGACACAACTAACAACAGGGTAGAGGAGGAGCGGTCTGAATCGAAATGAAGCATCAAGCCCAGAAACGGCGCAAATACTAGAATATAGTCACAAAAGTGACGCAAATAACCCAGACCACAAATATAGGCGGAGACAGTTAGCAGCCTCGGCTAGCTAGCAGCAGTCTGAAAGTGGTCGACTTTTTAATGTTTTTTTCTCAAAAGGACTAGAACTAGGAATACAGAGACGAAGCAAATAATTGTTTAGTTTGATATACCCTGTCGCGCGAGGTAGAATGATGACTTTGTTCATACAGGTCAAATAAGTTTTAGTAATTATTGACCTGATATGATTTGTTTTGATCGACTGGATAACATCATTTTTCCGCTCAGATTTCTTGATATCATTGTCTTCTTGTTTACACTATTTCTGCTTTTTTACCAATTTAATATTGTTATCTACCCACAATGACATGGTATTAACCGGAGTACAGTATGGAATTGAGTTAACAGGTATAAATTATGAATGGTAGTTAGTACAAGACTACGGAGTAAATTAAATTAAATTAAATTGTACAATTGTTTGTACGTAAACAGTTAATACTCAACTGGGCAAAACAAAAACCAAACAAACAAAAAAAAAAAAAGAAATGACAGAAAAGTTTTACATTAGATAGTGAGTGAGACAAGGTTTTTTTTTTTTTTTTTTCTAAAACCATTTCAGTTCATTACGTGTCAATAAAATGTGCAAATCAGCAGACACCAGCGAAGCGGACAACATCGGAGAATTACTAAATGAATTGCTTTTCGCCTATAACAGTTCAACTACAAGAAAATATTTATAGTCTCCATTTAGAATGAGGGAACTAAGATTTGCATATCGACGTAGATAAATCAGAAGTCATGACATTTCTCCAGAAAAGGAAAAACCACCATTAAAATTGATGAACACCAGTTAAAGCAAAGGACGAATTTTGTATTTGTGAGGATGATTTTTTTTTTTCAGAATACGGCAGAATTAATTAAGAACTCCAAAAAAAGATGCAATAAGGACAACACAGTTTTAGACCAAATGGCACAGATTTGATCTGCAGCCTGGTGACTATGAACACTAAAAGAACACTGTTCAACACAGTATTCTTACCAACGCTATGCTATTAATGTCAAAAATGACCATTTTTTTTTTAGAAGACTGAAGAAATATGATCTCGACAGAAATGAAATTTGTAGGTACCATTCTAGATGTAACGAGGAAATATCTACCTAGGAACGATGATATCAGAAGGAGAGTCGGCACAGAACCAATACAGAATTATAGAGGTAGACAATGAATCAGATGGTTTTGTGATTAACAAGACTGGCATCAGACAAGGCACCACAGAGAGTAATGTAATACAGATGCATCGGTAACAGTCAAACGTCAACAATGCAGAAAATGGACTGCAGAAAAATCAGAGACTGAAAATAATTTTATACAAAGCGAACAGAAGGGAGATAGCTTCAGTCCTGACGCCGGAAGGTATTCCAGGAGTAAAGAAGAATACAATTCGCGATTTGGCATCCACATTGCTAAGTTTAGTTCTCAGTTTTTCATGAGAGCTTGCCTCCCCGATAGAGCATCCGTGAAGATGACTAGTTGATGGCAGTCAAGGCTGGTACTGCGAATCGTTTCGGCAGCCTTACAACTTTGTTGCATAAATACAACAAGATTTATCAGCGGAACTATACTTCGTAGCATCGCTGTTGCCTTATGATGAAGCGATATTTCGTAAACATGCCCTGCCCCCCCCCCCCCACCACCCCCAACACCCATTTCTCCCGGTCCTGCAGAAGAATGTCTAGCCACATATCTTTCTGGTGGCACATGACACTGGCACCTTTTACTTCTAGAGGGAAACAAAATCACAAAACACTCGTATACTGGTAAGCACAATCATATGAGGGACTAGAAAGCGTTTGTGACCATTTTGGTTGTATTTGAATCCTAATGACGCGAACTTGTTTACCGTCTTCTTGTACTATCTTTATCTGGTAAACCAAACCCGAAGATTGTCGTTTACAGGCAGACATAAAATTAACAACCATATCATTATGTTTTTATATTTTTTTAACTATGGGCACGTAACACATAGAGGACTGAACTGCCTACACAGTTTCATCTAAAACAAAAAACAAAAAAAGTTACGTCCAGTGGCATTCCCCAGGGCTATTTATTCTATTGTCCAACGTGTCTCGTCAGTCTACTGGCAAGACATCGAACTGGCTACTTCTAGATACTTAGCAAAATGATTTTGTGTTTGTGTGTTGTATTGTTTGATTTATGTATGTGCTAATATAGTCTCAGTAAACGTAACGTTCATGGTTTGTTTGTGTTTGAAGTATTGTAAAGCTTGCTGATATACTTTTCGTTTGCTTTTTTTTTATATCTTTTCTTGACATCTTTACAGCACCAACCAAGACTGGAGTTCCGGAATATGTCACATCAGACAATTCCATGTCCGTTCAGAGGCAACATGTGAAGGATACGGCGTTTGCCAAATCAAGTCTTGATAAGATTGTTGGAGGGACTGAAGCTAAACAAGGTGAACTTCCCTGGCAGGCCAGCGTCAAGTATGGGAATGGTACACACTCTTTCTTTAAATGTGGAGCTGCAATAATAGATAATCTGTGGTTACTCAGTGCCGCCCATTGTTTCGTGTGAGTAAAGATAATTCAAATTGTGCGATCATTATTTTACGCTAAGATTGATGTTTTCATTGTATTTTTGTTTCGCAGTTATAGTTATCGACATGTGAGTGGTCGACTATCTCCCAGTCCCTAAGAAAAAGAATAGGGACTTTCAGATGAAGGGCTATAGCAAGCTTTTCAGAATATCTTAAACAAAGAAGAGGAGAAATATTTACATCTTAAAAGATCTGAACACCAAGGAAGATTAGCTAATAAATAGCATTCTGTCTCGGAAGCTGAAATATGTTGGTCATATCAAGCGACCCAACGAATGGAAAAAACATAAAAGCAGAAGGCATGGTACTAGGAAGAAGGGACAGGAGCCGACCAACACGAAGATGGGCAAAGGATATAAGTGACTCCTTGAAAATAAAAGTGCAGGAGGTGGGAGAGCTTGCGAGAGACCGAGTTCCTTTCAGGCAGACCGAGATGAGAGCGACGTTCTGCAAAGGAACTGCTCTATGATGATGATGAGTTATCGTTATCAAAAAGAAGGAACATACACAATGGTTCGGGTTCAGTACTTAGCAATACAATTATTATTGTTTGTTTTATTATTTTTTGGACCAATAAGGCTGTCACTTCGCCAGAGTTCTATAAAACAAACAGACCGATCTCTAGGCATTCAGATGTGGACTGGTCAATGACTTTTCATATCAGCCGATAAGAGGAGTATAAAGCCCCTTCATATAGTTTATCAATGTCTTTTTCTTTTGTGAGTGTGCAATAAGTTACGGAAATCTCTGTCAGTGGGAGTGATTCTTGACTGTAGCAAGTAAAAACAGGGAAGGAAACAGCAGTAACATCAATGAACTACTCTTTCCTGTAACATCGGCAAACTACTCTTTGTTGACGAGTAGGTCTCGATAACAGCTATAATCATAAACTTGCAAGATAATCAATAGTCCATGTGTGAAGAATATGTAACAAAGAATGCAAGCAACAGCAATGAAAAGACATAGGTATTGTTATTAGAATAGTACGTGCTAAATTATCATAAATCAATGAAGTGTCTAGGTGTTAAGCAAACCACAGAATTGAGAAACAAACAACAGAAGATAACATTCATTTTTTTTCTGCAGTTGTAGGTAGGTAGGTAAGTTGTACCCCACCAGGACATCACACAGGCGATAAACACCCAGTGATACAAAGTGCCACCATGCGGATAAAGATCACATGTGGAGAGGTCCCAGAAACCACTTTCAGCCGTTACTCCATATTTAAGACCTGGCTATATTCAGCGACCCGGTGAAAGCCAGGGTCGGGCTTCAAAAAACTAAAAATTGCATCCCACTTGGGGACGACTGTTTTGAGTTAACTATTGATGTCTGATGTCTATTTATGGACAATATTAATAAAATAGACATAACACCAACAGATGTCGATAAACAGGAGGACTTCAATGAGCTGCTCTTTGCCGACGATCAATGCATATTTCACAGTGATAGTAAACAGCTGAAAGACCACATAAACCTACTACACGAAAGTTGCCTCAAGCATCATATGAAGATCAATACTGAAAAGACAGAAGTCACGAGCATAAGTAGAGAGCAACAGACCATCGACATAAAGATTCTAGATCACAGCCTAAAACAAGTGCAAGAATTTAAATACTTGGGAAGTATCTTTACATCCAATGGTAAAATAGACAGAGAGATCGAAGCAAGAATTCAACAAGCCAACATTGTCGCATACCAGCTTGCCCCAATTTTAAAACACCCTGCTGTCCCAGCTGAGATAAAAAGACAAATTATAAATACAATCTTTATACCGACATTAGGTTATCAATGTCAGACTTGGACATTAACAAAAGAACACGAGAGAAGACTAACCACCTGTGAAATGAGATGTTTGAGAATGGCTGCGAATAAAACCAGAAGAGATCCAGTGAGAAACGATGTGATTACAAGAACTATTGGAACCATACCCATCGTTAAATTTATTGAGAAGCAAAGAATGAAATGGTTTGGTCACCTAATGAGAATGGAACCAACGATGCCAGCATCAAGAGCATACAACATGAAAATCGAAACACCAAGAGGCAGGGGAAGACCAAGAAGAAGATGGATTGAAGGAGTCACGGACAGCTTGAGACTTCATAACATCACGGCATATGAAGCGACTGAGCGCGCCCTGGCTCGGTTGCCGATCATCTGATAGACTGCGACGCCTAGCGGCACAAGCAGATTTTGACAAAAGAAGAAGAAGATTGATGTCTGCAGTTGTTCCTCACAAGTGTTGAAATCTGCAGGCCTCAACACCTTAACGAGAAAAATAAAAAAAAAATAGAAAATACATATCCAAGAAAACCCAAAGAATGTGAAGTTATAAAGCACAGCAAGACTGGGGCACCACAAACCGGTTACTTGTATGGCAAGCCAGATCAGTGGCTCTGAACCTACCTAATGCCACGACACTTTAAAAAAGTCCCCTCATGTGGTTGCGACCCTAAAACAATTATGTTCTTTCATAACTTTGATGAATATATGTTTTCTGATGGTCTTAGGCGACCCCTGTGATAGGGTCGTTTAACCCAAAATAAGTGTCCCGACCGGCAGGTTGAGAACCGCTGAGCTAAATTGCAGGAAGCCACTAGGACTGCGTGAACAGTACGGAGCACAAATAGACCATTACGGTCTGAGTATAATGGCGCTGCGGGGAGTTAACAGGGAATCCTGCTGACACTTTACACTCAGGGGAAAGCCGAGAAGGATAAACAATCAGACAGTTACTGGCAAGATCGGAATCGAAACTCTTCTCTTGCTGATGACGATGGGGACGAAGCGCCTGTGTCAGTGTCCAGAGTGCCATGATGACGATTCCTAATTCCTAATGGAATGGTTCGGCCATTTAGTGAGAATGCAACCATACCAGACTGCATATGAGACTTTAATTTTATTAGTGAGAAGACAACAGAAAAAGAAAAAATAATATTGTCTGCGATGGATCTTACAACTTGTTTTGTTTTTATTTCAAAATGAGCATGCTCCCAAAATAGTGTTCGTTCATTGTTGGCTGCTTGTCACTTACTCCCCTGCATTCAACTGTGTTTTATCATTGAGTGGCTTTTTCGTGATTTGCTTCTTTTTGATTCCTATCAGAGTAGTTGCTCTTTGAGCTACTGGGTTTTAGTATTTCAAGTTAAAATAGTGAAAATTGGGGAAAGAAGGAGGGGGGGGGGGCATATTTAAACAAAAACAAAAATCTAAATAACTTATATGCAGAGATCGTTCGGGATTCCTCTTCCCCACCAAATTAGACTTCCCTATATTCTGCAAGACTGCGTTATTCTATACAAAAAAAACTGCATTGAGCCTCATCATAGATATGACAGTTTGTGCATACTGGGTAAGATACGGTATGCTTTTGTCCCCCCCCCCCCTCTTTCCCCCTCAAAACTATGACTTTTCGAAGATTATTTTACTGAAAATAGGACCCAAAAAATTTATTTCTCTCTTTCATATCCTCCAGGAACTCTCATTTCATTTCCAATCTCTTTGCAACCTCTTTTGTTTCTTGGCTGTTCTGTTTTTGTAAGCAAATTTTGCACTCAAAAGTTTGCCATTGCTCCTGCATGGTGAGCTCTAGGTACCACTGTCGAAATCAACGCCAAACAAGCCTTACGCAGCTGGAATCGAACCCCGCACCTCATTATTACGTAGCGCGCTCGCAAAACCTAAGCCACAGACGTAGACTCGGAACCTCTTTACTTTAATAATTGTTTTCTAAAAATTGCTTCGAAGTCGGAGTGTATATGCCTGAGAGGCAAGGAACAAACAGTCTGCATGCAAAAAAAATCAGAACTGTAAAATGGATGCGCACGCAACACTTAGGTTCTTCAACCGGACTAGGGTCCAGAAGTCGAGAAACAACCAGAACTTTCTGTTGGAGTTTACAGCCAGTGAACAAGACGAAGAAGAAGATTCTCAAAAAATTGCTATACATTACCATTTATGTACACATCTCTAAATGTTCAATATGATTCTCTGATAGATGGGAACACTGTTCATTGTTTTAAATGTTTGATTGCTCAGTACAGCAATGTCTTTGTGATACTTTCAGTGGTTCTACCTATGAATTTATGGTAACTGTTGGAGATTACAATCTGCTAGCTAAAGAAACGAATGAGGTGACGTTTAAAGTGGAGAGTATACTCAATCACAAACTTTATGACCGTGAGTATATTGTTTTGTAAGAAACAGGGGTGTCGATACATAGAAAACAGTATGAGGGGGGGGGGGGGCTATTGCGCTAAACCAGTTTTTTTTTCTGTTTTTTTCTGGTTTTTCTAGGCAAATTTTACGTTCAGTAAATTGCCATTGCTTCTGAAAGATCAGCTATCAGTACCCCCTAACGCACGACAAATCGCCCGAAGCTGGGATCGAACCGGCGTTAGGAGGCGCGTTCGTAACGCCTAAGCCAAAGACGCGGACTCCTTACTGACTACTTAGTACCAATAAAGCTGACTTCTACACTTGGTCAGAGGGCCTTCAGCTTACTTCAAAGTTTGTTGGAATGTAAGACTGAAAATAACCGCCTCCCCATGTATTGGGTTGCGGTGGGGAGGGGGATCTTAAATTCCCTGAGCTCCCAAGAGGCATTGTTAGGTTTGGCATGTCGTAATTCTACAATAGTGACATAGAAGGGAACTGGCCACCTTACCTAGTATGCCGTGACTTAGAATGTATGAAACGATTGTCTTTCACAGTGCGCCCAAACGGCTGCATCTACAATGAGGCAATGTGTATCTTGTCTTAATAGAATTAAAGCAAACATGGCGAATATAGCGTAGTTTCATGTTGTGGAAAAGAGCAATCTCGTGCGATATATGTTTATTATTATTATTATTATTATTATATTATTATTATTATTATTTTATTAAATTTGCATCTCCAGCAAAAACTACTGTCAATGACATCGCGTTACTCCGAGTTAACCCAGGGAGTGATGGCAAGGGTATCAGCTTCAACAAATTTGTTCAACCCATCAGTCTGATTAATTCTGCAGCGTCTCCACCAGTGGGCGCTCTACTTGTAGTTTCTGGATGGGGCGGCATCCTACGATGCAAGAACTGCACATCCGGTAACTAGTGCCTGTCGTCTTGTCTCGTCCGAAAAGTACGCTATTTTTGATCTTTACTTGATACATATATATATATAAATATATATATATATATATATATATATATATATATATATATATATATATATATATATATATATACAAATATATACATAAATACATTCATATATACGCGTTTGTGTGTTTGTGCATATATATATATATATATATATATATATATATATATATATATATATATATATATATATATATATATATATATATAAATCAATGTTTGTGTGTTTGTTTTCACCCCTATAGACTCGGAAACTACTGAACCGATTTAGCTGAAATTTTCAGGATATGTTTGTTGTGATACCGGATTTTGAACCGTCGTGGCTTGAAATTCAACCTGTCACTGTTAGAGATAAGTGACCACAATTAATGCCAAAATATACGCAACTAATATTTATAACTTTAGTGATTTTTAATTATAGCCACGTTAGTAATTGCGCATGCGCCGTATTTACCATTCGCCGGCGAGTTACGTGCAGCCAACGCCTTCTCTAATACTAATACATAGCGTAGGTCGTGGTACAGCAAAGAAGACTATCTCTATATTTGCTACAATAACCATATTTACGGTATGTACGGTATATGCACAGTAATTCCGTGCAGCGGGGAACCAGCCCTGAGTGTCATGAACTCAGGTGGGCCCACCTCCGAATACGTTTAGGAATCGTGGGCCGAAACGTGTGTCGACAGAGGATAATTTCTACTGATGACTGGTAGATCCCCGCTGTACTTGCTCCCTGTGAGTTTATTCTTATTGCCACAATAACCATATTGAACACGATTTCTATTTTATTTTTTTTTTCAAACAACCTTCGATGGGTTGGGGGGGGGGGGGGGGGGGGGGCAATCGAGGACTATCTTGACGTCGGGGGAGACAGTGACTGCGACATTAACTTCATTAACCGTGTTAGACACGTGCGATTTCTATTTCATTAAAATATCTGGGGTATCTGTCTACGAGAAAACAATTGCCTGCGCTTTTGAATTGTGTTTTAATCGCGACACAGTGGTAGGGACACATATGTCTAATAGTTGTGTTCTCTTTTCGTTGTTCCGATTAAGTCGCTGCTTGGTCGAATGGTTAGAACACTGGGTTCAAGTGCGGTAGACCTGGGTTCGAATCCGCAGTAGTTAATTTTTTTTTTTTTTCACCCCGGACTAAAATAATATCTTTGTCTGCTCTGTCGTAGTGACAGCACTAGCCATGTTGCCCTAATATTTAAAAAAAAAAAAAAAAAAACCAGTAAATGGGTAAACCATTTGATAATTAAATTTGACCATTTCGCATACTTATGATTGCATTGTTAAACTTTCCGATTGCATGGTTACGCTGAAATTTTATAGATTTTCATTTATTTTCATTTAGATTTAGTTATTTCATCTGTGTTGGAATTTTAAGCTGTGCTGTTTACAATGGCGTTCATTTCCTAATTATGGTGTTTTTTTCCTGTGTTCATTTGCTTTTCAAGTGTTGTTTTTTTTTCCTCCCAACTACTTCAATGTGGGAAAGAGTTGTCGGTGAATTTGGGGGAGGGGGGGGGGGGCAAACTATTAACTGAGAGAGCTTTAAGTCACAGTAACTGCTTTACCCACTTAAAGTAGCAGCAGCAGTAATAGTTGTGGTTGGGCTGTTGCACCATAGTGCTCTCATGTGAAGACCGCCGGTAAGGTTATGGCGTTCTTCTGTCGGCAAGTGAAATTATACATCCTAACCTGACCAGTCTGTGGCGACAGCACTAGCCATGCGGAACCAAATCTTCTGGCTCACGACTCTCTGTCTACTCCGATGGTAACACAGATAGCAGTGACATTATTTTAGTAGTTGTACTGGTACTTGAAGGATGATGTGGTAAATATTTCACTAGCCCTATTCACTACCTTTTACAATTCCTGCTCCTTTTTTTAGTCCAGATGGACAAGGATGTCAATGTCAGTTACAGCAACAACAAAATATCGCCAGTTAGTGATTTTCAAATCCTTCGAAGAGGGAGAGAGCAGTAGTCGGTGGAAGAGGGGAGGGGAGGGGGGTAATTACTTAAATTTGAGAGAACTTAAAGAGCTTTACACATGATTTTCAAGTTCTCATTACCTAATTTGTTTATATTTTACTAACGCTACCTCCGCTTTTCTATTTTGTACGACTTACTTTGTTATTTACAAGTACAGTTGTAGCTTTACTTCCGTCTCCTATAAAAATACAAACAGCTTTAGCATGTGATAACCAAATAACCACTTTTGTAACCAGTTTTATTAGCTGTGGTTTAGCTGTTGCTCTGTACATCGCTAGCGTGAAGCGAAGACACATTTCTATGTTCTCTATTTTCCATGTAGTCAAATTACGCCACAGCAACGCGTGGCCGGGTACAGCTAGTATATATATATATATATATATATATATATATATATATATATATATATATATATATATATACAGACACACATCTGGGGAAACACGTCGTAGGAATCGAGTAATTTATCTGCTTCCTTCGAAGTCGTAGTGCATCGTGCCATGCAGAAAAGAACAACCACTTGCAAGCAAATAGGCCAGTGAAACGGAGGTACACCCGAAACGTAGGCCTGTGTACAAAACCAGATTCAAAGGGGACGAAAAACCAAAACCTTTCTTCGAAGCTTACAGACGGTTAGCAGAGAAGAAGATAACGATATGTATGATTATATATATATTTAAATATATATCTAAATGTGTGTATATACATAGTAGATACACCTATACACCTATGCATCGACTCACATGAGAGATTGTATGCATGGAAGTGGGTGCAAGAATTAAATCTCATACTTTTTTTTTCCTTAAAAAAAACTTTCAAGAGTTGGAGTGCGTCCTAAAAAGTGGGGCGTCATATACACAGATAAATACGGTACCCATACACAAACACGAATACACACGCACATGTATATGTATATATATACACACAAAACACAGACACACACGAGGGCTAATTATCTTTTCAGAACCTCAAGAATTTCCGCCCATACTAAAGAAGGCTGAAGTCCCTGCTATTAGTCAAGAGGAATGCAAACGATTATACAGCCAGAACACGATCACTGACCGCATGCTGTGTGCTGGGTGGTTGGATGGGCGGGCTGACGCTTGCACTGGGGACAGTGGTGGTCCGCTTGTCTATGAAACTGCAGGTGAGTTTATCCTTCTAATCAGGTCTTAGCCCACAACAGGGCGGCACATCTTTCTGGTGTAACCGTTAGGCGTGCCCTAATTTTAACTTCTAAAGAGGCTTCTGTAGGTGTCCGGGGTTTAGGCGCTGCCAACCGCTTTGTAATTCCCAGGGCCAGATTCGATCTCAGCTGTGGACGGTTTGTCTTGCGTTGGTTTCGACAGTCGTACCAGGAGCTGGCCGTTTAGAAAGAAATGGAAAAATACTGATCGTAAAATGTGCCTAGAAAAACTACAGCAGCCAAAACATACTGGGACTGGTTCTGCAACGTCCTGTAAGGATATTCAACTAACTAAGACGCTAAAAAGGGTACTAGCTATCTGCTATATTGGTCTGATAATGTTGGTTTGTTTCTTTTAGCTTACGGTAATGCACCACCTAGTTGAAGGTCAGTGAGGACACATTGAATAGTTAATGTCAGTCGTATTCATCTAAACATAGAAATAGAGTACAAAGGCATTAAACAGGCATCTGAGTTCAAATATCTGGGATTTACATTTACCGAAGATGGGAACTTGGATAAAGAAATTAACATTAGATGCAGTAAAGCAAACCAAGTATTGGGACAGCTAGCGCCTCTCTTACAGCATAAGACAATCCCAATCAGCACAAAGAGGCATCTTATTCATAGCATATTTATTCCAACTCTGTGCTATCAGTGCCAGATATGGTCACTCACAACAAACCATAAAAGAAAATTAGTAACCATGGAAATGAGATGTCTGAGAAGGGCTGTAGGAGTGACCATAAGAGATAAGATCAGGAATGAGATCAAAAGAGAAAAAGTCGGCACAAACCCAATTCTAAATTACATACAAAGACAGCAAGTGAAATGGTTTGCCCACTTAGAGAGAATGCCTTGTGACACCATACCATGCAAAGCATACATGGAAAGAGAAGAAGGACGTAGAGCAAAAGGTATACCAAAAACAATATGGAAGGATAACATCAGAGAAGCTCTACAACAGCACGATGTGCCTATGGTCGAGGCGGCCAGAAGAGCTAGAAACAGAATCTTATATCTCCCTCGACACCCACAGCGGTAAAAGAGGAAGTGAAGAGGAAGGAGAAGAAGTATTCTCTACATGCTGTTCGTATCAGTAATCGTATGAATTTTGTGTGTGTGTGTGTGTGTGTGCTTTCTGTAACAGTAAATGTCATGTTTTTTTTGTTTCAGCTCCTCTCTTACTATTCGATATATTTTCTTCTTTTTCTTCTTCTTCTTCTTCTTCTTCTTCTTCTTCTTCTTCTTCTTCTTCTTCTTCTTCTTCTTCTTCTTCTTCTTCTTCTTCTTCTTCGTCTTCTTCTTCTTCTTCGTCTTCTTCTTTTTCTTCTTCTTTTTCTTCTTCTTTTTTTTTTCTTCTTCTTCTTCTTCTTTTTATTTTTCTTCTTCTTCTTAAGCGTTTCGATCCCATGAGGTTCATTACAGCAGATAGCAACCGCCTACAGTCATCTTTCTGTTCGGCCTTTTCTTGCCAGCTTGTGACACCAAGTGTCTGCAGCTCTGTCTAGACATTATCTCTCCAATGTCTTCTTGGTCTGCCTCGCGGTCTACGACCATTCATCTCTCTTGTGTATACAGTATTTCCCTCTCTGTGACATTCTTTCAGTATGCCTTAGCCATCACTATTTGATATAATTCTCATTAATTACAAAGTGTTCTTTCAGTTTCTTCTTTTTCGTTCTTTCTTGGCTGTGGTGATTTTTGTTATTGTTGTTGTTGTTGTTGTTGAATATTTCTTTCAGAGTGGAATTTGCGTTTTTCTTTTCCATTTCAACTCTCCCCTTACCAGTCGATTGTTATTTTCCCCAACACTCGCCCTGCTTGACTAGATCATAGTTTGTGTGAGGCACTTCAACACCTGACCAACAGGGTTTAACATGCCAAGGGCACGTCCCCATGACATAACTCTGAGAATCGTTAGCTCAGACACGCCATGCCATGGATATGGTAGCGATTTTAATGACGCTTTTTTTTTAAAACTTCAATTAGTATTCATATATTTATTTGTAACATAATTGCTAATTTTTTTTTCAATAATTTGTGTGTGTGTGTGTGTGTGTGTGTGTGTGTGTGTGTGTGTGTGTGTGTGTGTGTGTGTGTGTGTGTGTGTACAGGTGAAGCATTATCATTATTATGTGAATTCAAATCAGTGTAGATAAAACTTTGGAACAGATGGAAGAAAAGCCACAAATAGTTTACTAGAGCCAGCTATTAGCAGCACGTCTCCCCGTGTAGGATCCACTGCGCTATTTGGGGAGCCCACTATCACTTAATAAGCCTGTCGTATAACGCGACAGGTACCTAGTTTACTGAAAAGGGATACGGTGGGTCGATGGGCGCCGCTATCGCAGCTATGTGTAAACCACCAGAAGACAGCTTTTCAACCAAAACAACACTATAGTACCCCCCCCCCCCCCCCAAACCACTTTTTCTCTTTATTCCTGGAATGCCTTACACCTAGCGACATACGACAGAATTATCCTATCTACTGGCATGGGTGAATATTCTGTTACACTTCATTAGTACAGTACTTTTCAGTCTCTAATACGTCCGCGGTCCATGGTCTGCGTGGTTTACCGCTGGATCTGTTACCCTTGTATCTATATATTTTTGCTCACTGCGGTGCCCTGTCTGATACCAAACTGGTTACATGACCAAACTATTTCATTTGTTGTCCATCTTTTAGGTTTATAATTAATTCTGTATCAACTCTCCTGATATCATCCTTTCTGAGTCGATCTATCCTCGTAACACCTAGCATAGTAGGTGAACATATCCACGTTACAACTAGCATAGTACGTGAACATATCCTCGTTACACCTAGCATAGTACGTGAACATATCCTCGTTACAACTAGCATAGTATGTGAACATATTCTCGTTACAACTAGCATAGTACATGAACATATCCTCGTTACACCTAGCATAGTACGTGAACATATCCTCGTTACAACTAGCATAGTACATGAACATATCCTCGTTACAACTAGCATAGTACGTAAACATATCCTCGTTACAACTAGCATAGTACGTGAACATATCCTCGTTACAACTAGCATAGTACGTGAACATATCCTCGTTACACCTAGCATAGTACGTAAACATATCCTCGTTACAACTAGCATAGTACGTGAACATATCCTTGTTACCACTAGCATAGTACGTGAACATATCCTTGTTACAACTAGCATAGTACGTGAATATATCCCCGTTACACCTAGCATAGTACATGAACATATCCTCGTTACACCTAGCATAATACATGAATATATCCTTGTTACAACTAGCATAGTACGTGAACATATCCTTGTTACAACTAGCATAGTACGTGAACATATCCTTGTTACAACTAGCATAGTACATGAACATATCCTCGTTACAACTAGCATAGTACGTGAACATATCCTCGTTACAACTAGCATAGTACGTGAACATATCCTTGTTACAACTAGCATAGTACATGAACATATCATCGTTACAACTAGCATAGTACATGAACATATCCTCGTTACAACTAACATAGAACGTGAACTTATCCTCGTTACAACTAGCATAGTACGTGAACATATCCTCGTTACACCTAGCATAGTACGTGAACATATCCTTGTTACAACTAGCATAGTACGTAAACTTATCCTCGTTACACCTAGCATAGTACATGAACATATCCTCGTTACAACTAACATAGTACGTGAACATCTCCTCGTTACACCTAGCATAGTACATGAACATATCCTCGTTACACCTAGCATAATACATGAACATATCCTTGTTACAACCAGCATAGTACATGAACATATCCTCGTTTCAACTAACATAGAACGTGAACGTATCCTCGTTAAAACTAGCATAGTACGTAAACATATCCTTGTTACACCCAGCATAATACATGAACATATCCTTGTTACAACTAGCATAGTACATGAACATATCCTCGTTACAACTAACATAGAACGTGAACGTATCCTCGTTACAACTAGCATAGTACGTGAACATATCATTGTTACACCTAGCATAGTACGTGAACATATCCTTGTTACACCTAGCATAGTACGTAAACATATCCTCGTTACACCTAGCATAGTACACGATCATATCCTCGTTACACCTAGCATAGTACGTGAACATATCCTCGTTACAACTAGCATAGTACTTGAACATATCCTCGTTACAACTAGCATAGTACGTGAACATATCCTTGTTACAACTAGCATAGTACATGAACATATCATCGTACAACTACAACTTGAACATAGTTACAACTAGCGAAATACGTGAACATATCATTGTTACACACTAGCATAGTACGTAAACATATCCTCGTTACACCTAGCATAGTACACGATCATATCCTCGTTACACCTAGCATAGTACGGAAACATATCCTCGTTACACCTAGCATAGCACGCGAACATATCCTCGTTACAACTAGCATAGTACGTGAACATATCCTCGTTACAACTAGCATAGTACGTGAACATATCCTTGTTACAACTAGCATAGTACATGAACATATCATCGTTACAACTTGCATAGTACGTGAAATATCCTCGTTACAACTAGCATAGTACGTAAACATATCCTCGTTACACCTAGCATAGTACACGATCATATCCTCGTTACACCTAGCATAGTACGGAAACATATCCTCGTTACACCTAGCATAGCACGCGAACATATCCTCGTTACAACTAGCATAGCACGCGAACATATCCTCGTTACAACTAGCATAGCACGCGAACATATCCTCGTTACAACTAACATAGTACGTGAAATATCCTCGTTACACCTAGCATAGTACGGAAACATATCCTCGTTACATCTAGCATAGTACGAAAACATTTAACTTCTGTCTTAAGTACATTCCTTTCGTTTAAAAAAAAAAAAAATCGCCAATTTGAGTTTGAAATTAAAAGATATGCTGGTGTGAGTCAGTTCAATAGGGAACCTATAGGGCCACATTAGATACACTATTAACTGAGATAGTAGGGTTAATATGCATTCATCTTTGATAGGTAAAGCTATAAGATCACATTTTCATGGTATGGCAAAGAAACGTATAACGTATTTGTTAGTTCCTAAATACAAAATGGCGAAAACAGTAAGACCGCTACTCGGTGGAATAAACAGAGTACTGAAAGTTGTCTTAGGTTATTCTTTAAAAAGAAAACTGTAAGCAACATAACGAACGAACGAACGAACTTTATTTTCAAAGGGTCATAAATGTGGTGCGCAGGCCTGTCTTACATTCGGCCTTTTTAAACACCCGTCTTTCACATTGAAGCTGTATTTTGTCAATAAGCCAGTTATATTCATATAATAATATGCATATTATGAATATTTAAAAAAAACACACACACACACACAAGCACAAAAGCATGGGTGGTAAAATGAATGCACAAATAAGCAAACGCGCGCTAGCGCGCACACACACACACACACACACACACACGCTGATTATACAGCAAGCGGTTAAGGGATGAAACAACACTACTTTTAAGGAATGCTTTTCAATTTCGGTGAAGAAATATTTGAAACAATATACACAACTTAAACATTTTCTTTCTTATTCCAGGCTCAAAGGTTTTGGCTGGTGTTGTTTCTTGGGCCGGAGGATGTGGCCTAGAAAACACGCCTGGTGTCTACACACGTGTCTCTTCTTTTCTAGATTGGATTCAAGAGACTAAGGAGTCCTACGTTCCACCTGCTTATCAGTTGTTATTCAAATAAAGCCTAACCGAAACATTACTTTATGTACTCAGTAAAGTCAGCAAAACAATTAACTTAAGAAGTCTCCATTTCTATTCTAAACACTGAATAAAGCAGTAAATTTAGGAAGGTAATGTTTTCTGTAGATATTGTGTAATATAAATATGTGTGTATGTGTATGTTTGTGTGTATGTGTGGGAATGAAGTGTGCTGCATGTCCTTTGCAAACTCCATATCAAGCTTTCATCACTCCATTTGAATATTTGGTTTGTACGTTGCTTAATTCCCGCTCTTGAAATGGTTTTCCGACAAGATATCCATTTCTGTGGATGTCAGGTCTCTTAGGCAGTGGGCATACCGTCTCTGCCCTTTCTAATGTCTCCACTGTGGTTACTCCGTTTTTTCCCCGTTCTGGAAAACCATTGATTCTACAGTCAAGACCACTGTATGGCTGAAAATACTTCAAACTCAACAGACCTAGAGCAGACAACCTAAATTTACAACAACGACAGCCCCCCCCCCCCCCCCCAAAAAAAAAAAAAATAATAAAAAACTAAGGTGGACCTAAGTGCCTATGGACTGAATGGCTGTGGGCGTTGCAGTCTCAATCATAGACGTCTCAACGGGTACAGGGTGAAAAGGAAACACTGAGAAACAAAGAGAGAAGTAGAGATAGAGTTAAGGGAGTAGCCGCTTGTAGAGTCAGGGGGACAAAAGAGTGCCTATAATTCAAGCATGTTAGAGTGAGTTACTAAGTCCGGCGTAGTGCCAGACAGAGAGTGTGTGAACTGGAGCGGTTTATTTATGATCGGGGTGTCATCATGATTCCGAAATGTAATATAGATAGCAATGAGTGTCATGGATATACCAGTTACACAAATAGCACTGAGCAGGGATGACATGGTCACGGTCTGCTAGTGAAAACATAAGTGAAACGTATGGTACTTGACATGGGTCAGTGGAGTCATGGTGCAACAGGGATTCAAGGAATGCAGAAAGATATTTGCAGCACAAGCTGGAATTTAATAAATTGCATGCCGCTGTGAACTCTGTGGTCACACATGAACACTGGGAATGGCTTGAATATTTGGAAGAAATTCCTGATAAATAGATTCTTATTTGTGGGGATTCAAGTGCATGGAACAAAGTAGGCAAAATTCTGGGGGAAACTGACAAGGTAAGGCCATAAAGGATGGTATACCAAATAGAATGGCAACGAGACCTAGTGATACCATAGCCATTGCCTTGGCACTTGTTAACCAGTCAGTAAAGCTGGACATAAAATCGACTTTCATGTGCGATCATTGGAGTTGTCATCTGTCATACTCAGTCTTGATTTCTAAAACAAGAAAGATCAATGCTATTAGAATAAAACAAAACAAAAAGCATTTTGAGTATGTTAGTGCTAACACACTTCTTGGGCGCCTTCGACTGAAATTGTGCAACAGAATTACTAACTACCAACGGACACTACAAGGAAAAGGAAATGCAGTTCAATAGAGTGGTAGTTAAATAATTGCATAAAGTTCGAAAGACACCCTTATAGGTTGCAGGAACAGGTATATAAGGCAGAGACAATAGAAAGGTTCTAGCACTTTGCAACAAATGCAAAATTATCTAAATGATAACACTTTCTGAAATGAAATTGGATGGCATAAGTCACTGTGAGGGTTCTGGAAATTACAATGAAAACACCAACCTATAAGAACAGACACCATATAGAGAGATAGCGGTACGCCCATGTCAACAGACTATAATAAATCTGACGCATTTTTACATAGGCTTATATTGTAACCTTACTTACAGCAATGGTAGGGTACTTGGAAAATTAGAGATAACCTATGGAATAGCATAAAGGATAATTACTACCAGTATGTCATTCAGGTAAAGAATTTTTTTTTTAATAGGAAACCATGAGTTGTAAACCACTTGGCTCGGTACTGTGGATATTGCAACCCTTCGGCTTTGATGCCATATTAGATACCGTGAATTTTAGAAATATGTAGCTTCTCTGCCTACCCATGAGCGTGAACTAGGACCACGTATGTAACCCAGTCGCCGCGCAGCTGGTTTGACCAACTTAGCTAGCGCACCGGGTGGTGAATGATATATATATATATATATATATATATATATATATATATATATATATATATATATATATATATATATATATATTATATATATAGATATACACAGACTGAAAATGTATAGTATGCTAACATGAAGAACAGGAGTGATGAAGACTTGAAGAAGATAGTTTTTCTTTTCAGCCACAGCATCAGAACAATGACAGGACACAATGTCCGAGTGACCAGCTATTCAATCTCACTTCCAAAATCAGGCAGAGACCATTCCAGCCTAGACGGTATCAGGATTATCCCTCTAGAGCAGTGTTTCCCAAACTGTTCTTAGTCGCGGCGCCTTTTTTAATTAAAATTTCACGGCACCCTAACCTAATTAGAATTTTGACTCTGAGAAATAAAAAATAAAAAAAAACGAGTGTATCTTCGAATATTTTGAGGCGCCCCTGTGAAGAGGTCGCGGCTTCCCGGGTCGCCGCTGCTCACAGTTTGGGGATCACTGCTCTAGAGAATGCATTGAGCTGAGATTCTTCAGACTCAGTTTTGAGTTAGAAGTAGAAAGAGCAGTTATTGGTCACTGCCCTTGTACCGTGATGTTGATCTCCTGTTGTATAAACCATTTCGGCAAGGCGTTACAGCAGATTATCGCTGTTAAGTAGCAAATATTTATGGAAATAAAAGAACTAGTGCCAACAGACTAGTGGCCTTGGCAGCTAGGTAAAAAACAAACCTGCGGCCACTTTTGATTTATATGCAGGATTATCACGTCCCCCCCCCCCCCCCCACACACACACACAGCACAGTACAACAATATTGTCTGCAAAGACTGAAAGGTTCTAAAAGACAATAATGAAAATTATAATATTATTACTAACAACAGAAATAATAATTGGAATTCATGTTATAGAAATAATAATTGTATTTGAACTGACATGATATTTATAACAGAAAACAAAAACATTAAACGTGACCTTATTTACATGTTTCGGTTGTATGGGTAGGAAAACCTTGGTAACACGGACACGCTTACAAAGAACACCCTCGGTAACACGGACACGCTTACAAAGAACACTGGGTTACTATCTGTAAATGGTTAGCGCGGATTATAAGTCACCAGTTAGCACAAACTGTTTTTTATACGCTTGTTGCTTTGGTGCTTGGAATTCATGTTATCGAAATGTTATTGTATTTGAACTGACATGATATTTATAACAGAAAACAAAAACATTAAACGTGACCTTATTTACATGTTTCGGTTGTATGGGTGGGAAGTGGACCTGGGAGGGAAGGGGGGTGCTGTTTAAAGGTAGGGGTGGGAGGGGCATTTCAACCTCTATTGTCGGAAAGAGTGGGTCTCAATGTATGTAAACCCCCCCCCCCCCTTCCCACTATGTTTCGGCCCCCTGTTGGAATTACACTACCAATCTTAAGCTGTATACTGTAAAGTGTGGATCTGAAAAATCAATTCTTCTGAAAGTATTAATCACACTTTATTAACTTTATTATATTCATAAAACGTGCACACTAGTGTCTATTAGTACGGTAATCTGTATGGTCTTATCGATTGACTACAGAGTTACGATTGAAACCCTAATTCAGATTTTTTTTTCTTTCGAGACATTATTGAAGCGCTTACTGAACGTAGTGCATCCATCATTTTACGTAGATGTTTTTAACATGAAGGTCGTGGTTCGAATCCTGCTATTGGTGGTGGTAATAAGTATAAATCTATCTTTTAACCACTGCATTGAATGCTGGCAGGTGAGTTTGTTTTTCTGTCCTTCTATGTTATTTATAGTTTATTTGCCGGCGCGAACGTATGTTCCTGGCAGGGTTAACCAAGCCGGAATGTTCATCGGTCAGGGGTCAGACCAAAGATGGCCTCTGGGTCCTCTAGGCTCAGGGGATTGAGCGCAATGTTAAAAGCTCTGCCCTTAAACTAAAACGGTACAGAATCCTATAGAGGAAATAAGTACTCTAAACTTCCAGCCGTCTTGGGACAGAGTCTTTCTGTCAGTATGCTCAACATTGGGGAAATCCAAAAGGAAGCCCATGAGGCATTTTTGACATTGAAGACTGCAATGAAGATTGCACTGGACCGGAAAGCATGAAATGTCCTCTCTGAAGGCCTCATGTACCACTAGGCAAAAACAGAACAGACGATGAACTGATGCTGCTCTATGTTATATATATATATATATATATATATATATATATATATATATATATATATAAATATATATATATATATATATATATATATATATATATATATATATATATATATATATATATATATATATATATATACATTTGAGAGAGAGTGTGTATATATATATATATATATATATATATATATATATATATATATATATATACACACACACACATATATATATATATATATATATATATATATATATATATATATATATATATATATACTATAGGCAACCAAAGGTCCCTGGAGACTATATAGTTGTCTGTGTCTGCTATGGCTGTAAAATCCAATGCTGGAGTTGCAGCCTCTACCACATCGTTAGCCCACACGTCTTTGTGCCGATGTTATCTTTCAGCTCACGTTTTGATATTCCTTATACCGTAAATCTGGCCTTCCTGTAGGTCATATAACTGTTAACATTTCGCCATATATGATGGTGAAGGAATCACTAACCACTTCCAAGTGTGAGTTCCTAGGCCCTATTATAGGGAAAATAAGAACAAACTCACTACCTGCCCGAAAGCATGTCGTAAGAGTCGACTAACTTGGAGCTTCCTTCGAAGTTGGATGCATCTGCCTGAGAGAAATCGAACCAGCAGTCTGCATAAAATGAGTCAGATCTGTAAAACGGATGCACACGCAAAACTCAGATTATAGAATTGGACTTCTTTCTAGAAGTGGGTGAAGAACAGTTTATAGCTGGTGAACGCCAAGGA